GAAGAAATCTGCGACTCATCGAATGCTCTCAAATACTTATGGTGAAGCCGCTATAGTGAAAGAATGTGTCGTGAGTGATTTCAACGCTTCAAGAACGGTGATTTTGACGTCGAAGACCGGCAGCGGTGGAAGAGAGAAGATTTTCGAAGATGCAGAATTGGAGGCATTTCTTGAGCAAGACTCGTGTCAAAATCAAGAAGAATTCGCACGATCATTGGAAGTGACTCAACAAGCCATTTCAAAACACCTCAAAGTCATGGGAATGATTCAGAAGCAAGGAAATTGGGTGCCGTACGAATTGAAGCCGAGAGATGTTGAACGTTTGTTTGCTTGTGAACAGCTGCTTGAAAGGCAAAGACGGAAGGGATTTCTGCATCGCATTGTGACTAGGGATGAAAAATGGGTTCATTACGATAATCCCAAGCGCAGAAAATCATGGGGAGTTCCCGGCCATGCTTCCACGTCGACGGCCAAACTGAATATTCACGGGTCCAAGGTCATGCTCTGTATTTGGTGGGATCAGCTCGGCGTAGTGTATTATGAACTGTTAAAACCGACTGAAACAATCACAGGCGATCAGTATCGAACGCAATTGATGCGTTTGAACCGAGCATTGAAAGACAAACGGCCGCAATATAACGAGAGACACGATAAAGTGATTTTGCAACATGACAATGCTCGACCCCATTGCGAAAGTGGTCAAGACATACTTGGAAACGTTGAAATGGGAAGTCCTACTCCACCCGCCGTATTCTCCAGACGTTGCTCCCTCTGACTATCACTTGTTTCGATCAATGGCACACGGCCTGGTTGACCAGCATTTCCGGTCTTATGAAGAAGGTAAAAAATTGGATCGATTCGTGGATAGCCTCAAAAGATGACTAGTTTTTTCGACGCGGGATTCGTACGCTACCCGAAAGATGGGAGAAAGTAATGGCCAGCGATGGACAATACTTTGAATCATAAATGTATAACCAGTTTTTTACAATAAAGCCTCGAATTTCGGAAAAAAAACGGCGGAAGCAAAGTTGTACATCTAATAATACAGGGAGAATTCGTTGAAGTCGTTAAACCAACTGTTTTTATAGTTGTCTTTACCCTACATGTGTACGTATAATTTTGATAATTAATGTCTTAATGATGTTTAATATTAAGTAGACATCATAGAAATGTTACTAAAATTATTAAAGGGGCTTTCAATAAGGACGCTCGATTTTTGAATGTAAATAAAACAAGTTGTGTGTGAGATATCCATTCAATTTTTTTTTATTTGAAAAAATATTTTATGGCATTAAGTATGGAATATAACGTCGCTCAAATGTCCGCCGCGGCTTCGCTTGGTGACACGTATTCGGGCGGTCCAATTTTCGATGATTTTCTCGTATAAATTTGGCTGAATTTGCTGGATGGCGTTTGTTATGTTGACTTTGAGAGCAATTGTTTGCGGTTTATTCGTATAGATCTGCGATTTAAGATAGCCCCAAAGGAAAAAAATCTAAAGGCGTTAAATCGCACGATCTCGGTGGCCAGTTCGCCGCCGCGCGAGATAACCATGCCCTCAAATCGCTTGTGCAGAATGTCCATCGTGGCATGCGGTGTGTGGGACGTAGCACCATCCTGTTGGTGCAACCACATGTTATCGGTATCCATATCATCCATTTTAGGCCACAAGAAGTTGCTTATCATCTGTAGCGCTCGTTGACGGTTATGGCAACGCCCGCTTCGTTTTAGAAGAAGTACGGACCGATCATTCCGCCAGACCAAAATCCGCATCAAACAGTGACTTTCTCGGGATGCATTTGAAGCTGGTGTATCTCGCGTGGATTGGTATCGTCCCAAATTCGACAATTTTACTTGTTCACATATTCATTCATCAAAATGGGCCTCATCGCTAAAGATGATTTGTTTGGCGAAATTTGGGTTAACTTCCAATTGTTCCAGATCCCAATCAGCGAACACATGGCGTTGTCTATGGTCGTTTACCTTAACTGACCTTCCTCAGTCAGTTGAATTTTATAGGAGTGCAGACCCAAGTCCCGACGCAAAATTCGCCAAGTTGAAGTCGTAGAAAGGCCAAGTTCTTGTGAATGACGAGAAATTAACCGCCTCGGGTTTTCCCGTACACTTTCACGCACAGCAGCGATGTTTTCAGCAGACGTTTGCGTTTCGGCGACGTATTGGCTGATTATTTATTGAACCGGTTGACTCGAATTTGGCCACCAAACGTCGAATAGTCGACTCGACAGGACGGTTGTGGCGAAGATAAAAATCACGTAATGCGCGGAACGTTTCTCGAATGGAGCACTAATTTTGATATTAAAATTTTATGATTTACACACGTTGCTCAACACTATGACCTTCCATGGTGATTTGCCATACATTACTAAACAATTCACAATAAATTTGACAGATGTCACTTTAACAACATGGCTACTATGATCTAACAAATTTCGAGCGTCCCTATTGAAAGACTCTATAATATATAATGTATCATTCTGCTCTTTAATACGTTATATTGCCACAATATTATTGTAATAAATTGTAGCAATGCTATTGTGAAATAATTACTGTGATATTTCAATGTTATTTATTAACACATGTAATATATTAGTAATATTTCTGTGATATTATAATACATTGTAATATGTAATATTTCTGATTTATTGCAATATTGCTGCGATATTACGTGCTGTACGTGATATAAAATAAAATTATGAATTTTTACATTTTAGATATTTTATGTATATTACAAAAGCTGATTTTGAAGGTTTCCAATCGGGAATTTCGGCAGCACCAATCTATTTTTGTTTCAATGTAAGATTTTGGTTAGATATAATGCAGCAATATCTTTCTTTATTAGAGTTTGTGCATCTTGGAGCACTATAACGGAATTCTCTAATTCATCTTATCGATGATCGCTATCGTTGACTACGGACAGCTAATGATAGGACAATCCTGGAAGAAAGCGCAGTTCTTATTGTTGTTAGTTAACGATAGCGACAATTGTCGATAAAATGTTTAGAGAATCCCGCAACTGATAGGCATTTCGTAATGTGCACAAAAAAAAACAGATTTAACATGTAAAAATGTAGTTTTATTTCATGTATATTTATTTCATGTCAGGATGGGTCATCTAGCGTTTGGAATTTCAACTATCGGTTATTTTGAGTTTGAAAAGCGTAATAACATTTATGATGTATCAGAAATTTAGTTTTTTGTTTGACATTTACGAAATGGGTCGCTATACGCTTGAACAAAATTGGGAAATATTGAAAACTTACTTCCAAAGTGGTGAGTCTTCAACCCAAACTGTAAGAAATTTACGTGGAAAATTTGGTAGAAAAGAAATGCCTTCAACGCAGTTTGTGACTCAATTTGTAAAGCGAATTCGGCAAACTGGATCCTTATTGGATAAAGCAACTCGTTCGTGCTCGTCCAGTAAGGTCAATCGAAAACATTGCTGCTGTTGCTCAGAGTGTGCTTGAACAACCATCAACATCAACTCGCCAACTCGTTTTCAAAACTTGAACATTTCACGCACTTCTTTGAGAAGAATTTTGAATAAAGACCTCGGTAAATGGCAATGTACTATCTTTCCAATAAAGCCATAAACTTTGAAAAACATTCATTTTTTTTTTAGAGCCAAATTAAATTCCAAATTTTAAATGGCCCACCCTGTATAATAGAAGAAGGTATATACTTCTAAGATTAATAATATGTATCAAAGACTTACAAAGACTTGACCAATTGTAAAACGAACTCCGACTTTTTTAACTCTTCTCTAATCTATTCTAAAGTTTGTTCGTGTCGCATACTCCAACATGCATCAACATTTTCCTACTCACTCTAACGAGCGCGTTTGAATGAGTAGGAGCTACGGTTAGAGGAAGTAGGAGCATGTTGGAACATGCGACACGAACAAACCTCTAAACTATTTTTGCATCCGTGAATATGGAGCTTTGATGACGATCCAATCAGAGCAAACCAAATCACGTTATGAAGTTTGCCACTCTCTCCCTGTGAGACTCTCTATTGTACTCTGCCTGGAGACACTCTAAAGTCTATGGCACATATAAAAACATAAGGCAGTAAGATGTAATCAGTAAGCGAATTGGTTAATCACGATAGAGACCGTAAGGCCAGTAGCGAATCCAGTTATAATTTCCTCAGTGCTTACGTCTTACGTTTTTGTATGTGCCATGAACTTAACCGCGCTCTTTTCTAGTAGAGTCTACCATCACTCTTCAAATTTCTGACAACGCTCGATCTAGAGATACTATATCTATGGAACTACCCCACACTTTCCTTATTTATATAATGACTTTCCACATAAAGCGAGGTTCATCTCATTTCCCGCCCTATCTAGGGGCATTTAACTGTCCGCGCGAGACAAGATCCACCACATGAAAAGTTGTGCATCTCTAGGCAGCGAAGGTCGCTTCTTAAGGTAAAAAGTCATGTGCTTCTAAGCATGATGGAGGTGATGGATCTCGCTTTGCGCAGAAAGTCGAACATTCCTAGCCAAAGAGGAAGAGTATATATATGAGATGGATCTGTCTAAAATTTATTAAAATTATAGTTAACTCTATATATTTCCGAACTATAAGAGATCATTCCATAGTTGTTCAAGCAAAGTTACTTGACAGCATATGTCAAGGTCAAGATAATTGGAGCTGAGTCTCCTAATGTCAAGATTTATTATATTCAGATATAACAGTATATAAATATGTATAAGAAATAATTTTACTTTGATTATTTTTTGTTTTTTAAAAAGCTATTTGATACTTTGAAATTATGAAATGAACTAGTACAATATAATAAAATTTCGATTTCTTATGATTCATATTATTTTCAATGCATGTATTTAATGGATTTATAATATAACATCCTTTTCTCGAAATTATTTCTTAAACTTTAATTCAAAATGTTTTTAAATTATAAAATAATATAATTATTTTTTATTTCTTTTTCATAATAATATTTGATATAATTATATATAGAGAGCTCTCCAGCACATTTGCAAGGCTTTGTCATTTAGTAGATGAAACAACATCTGAAATGGATACCGAACTGAAAATTATAGGAAATAATTTAGCAGTATTGGAAAAAGCAGCAGCTAAGGCAAAGCATCTTCGAAACGAAGCCAACTTTTTAATAAATGAACTTGATACGTTTGATGCAGCTTATTTAAAACCATTAAATTAAATTAATAATGTGTTTTATACACATTTAATTAAATTGCATAAATAATATTTTGAAGAATATAATAATTAGAGGATAGATGTAATTGCTTAAAATATCTAATATTTTAGTTTTTAATTTAGAAATAATAATTAAAGTCTTATATGACAATGAATGATAGACACGTATATGCATAAATATAGATTTATATTCTATTTGATAAATTACTGCGGTTATCTATGTGTACATGAAAAATATGATTTTTATATCACATAAGTCAAATAACAGAAATGGACAATTATATTTAAATTTATGAAATAAATATGAAACACGATCTCTTAAAAAGAATTAAATGTTTCTACCTAATAAAAACTCTAGTCTTAATGTGCAGGAAAATCAATTTTTTATAATAAATTATGTCAAATAATTTATTTTTATTAATATTAGCAATAATTTTTTTTTCAATAAATAATGTAATTATTATATAACAAATAAATTAAAAGCAAATTTATATATATGCATATTTTTTATTTTTAGAAGTAATATATCAAAGATTGTTGTCCTTTAAGAGACTCAGATTAAATTATGCTTATCTTATCTTAGATTTATTATAGGTTATATCAGTCTTATATATTAAAAAAGAGAAAGCATATAAAACATACATAAAAAGCTGGAAACATAAAAAAACATAAGCAGTAAGCTTGAATTGATTATTCACGGCAGAGAACATAACACAATCTTACATTTTCTAACTTCATATGTATGTTTTACTTATGCTTCTTATTGTTTTTCGCTTTTGTATGTGTTATGGATTTAAAATTTATCTTTTTATTAGACTGTATGTTTACTGAAAAATATATGTAATTGTAAAAGTATGAATAAATATAATCAACTTACATAAGAGCAATGACTTTATAGTTTAATAAGTTTAATAAATGAAACCACGTATTTTAATAAATTTATTCGTATGTATACGTCCATACACTTTGCAAATATTATATATATTACTAATTAATAAACTGCCGATTTCTATATAAATACACCTTCTTAGGAGATATGTAGATATGAAGATAAAATTAAAATGAAAATATATATAAAAATATTCTAAAAATATACACTCGAACTTCCATAACTTCTACTACGCGAGGCCGCGAGAAGTTAGGGAGATTTTTCCTATTCGTACATTAAGGATGTTAAAAAGAAACAGCATTACAATGAGAACGTTTGCACAGATGTCAATACAACATAATCTATTTTAACACTGAAAATTTTTACACATGACATCATGTACATATATGGAAGAAAAAATGAAGAAGTTACAGAGTATTGAAGTTAGGGAAGTTCCACTGTATGTTTATTTCTGCCTATATATATTTAATGCATATTTTAAACAATTTCACGCATTTCATTTTATAAAGAATTATTTTTTTTATTAACAAAATCTATGAATTTACTATTTATTGTGAAATATTCTTATCACAGTCTTCTACATCTATAGTGTTCACAGTACTCACTTTGATTATTTTGCACGTGATAGTTCAAGTTTCTAGTCTATTATTTTATTATCGAATCTCTCAATTCAGTTCATTATTCATGTGCACTCAGCAACTAAAAGATAACACTTTTTCTTTCTATGGTCTTCAGAATATGACAAAATTGTCAGAAAGTGAGTCCTAACCGCTATTTATGCAGCAGTTAAAATATCTGCCAATGTGATGATAAAATCAAAATGTACAAAGTGTGAATAAGCAAGCAAGCAAGTACGATTTGCAAAATCTGTGGATGTACAGGGTAAACTATTTTAATTTATCTAGTCCATTTTCTCAAAATCTATAAGTTTAAGACAAAAATGTTTCATACAAAAGTTTTATTTCAAGGGAGAAAGAAATTGGTGACCTTGGTTGATTTTGAAAAGATGTCCTTAAGATCAAGTCAAGATTATATAAAATTTTTAATGAAAACCTTTCATTTTTTATTACATATTTTGTATTACATATTTTATACCCCGAAAACTACCACAAGTAAGCCTTGCATTTCGGCAGCGAGCTGCGGAAATACAAGATTTGGCGAACTACGCGCGAACGACGTCCGTCATGATTATATATGATCATATCGATCGCCAGAATGCGCGATAAGACATCGCGCATTTCTTTATATTTGGCCTAATCGCAAATCGCGGGAGTCTTATCTGACAAGTGAATCTAACGTCACATTACGCGTGTCGCGAACGTCCCACGTCGAGTGTCCTGTTACATCCGCTTTAAGTAATATCGTGAGCGTGAACGACAATATATAATCCACGCTTAACCACAAATGTTTAACGCAAAGTTCAAATATTATTGTTCACACTAAACAGGTGCAATTAAAAAGAGAAATTATTTTAAATAAATTTATTTTAAATAAGTTGGTAAAAAGTAGTCAAGTGTATGTTCTTCGCCGTCCTTCGTGCATCATTCCCAGCGCTCCTCGGGTTCCAAGGGGTTCGTCCTTCAGGCAAATTAATTATTACTTGCTGCACTGAAAGGTACAACATTTTTATAACTATCTTCAAGACTTTTTGAAAACACTATAATAAAGTTCATGTTCATTTTTATTTCTTTTCGAATTATGATGCTTGAAAGTACAATACTGCTGTATTTGCATTACCCAAGATGTCAGACTGATGGCTAAAACCTTTGGAATGTTGTTCACAATCATGATGTTGACAACATTACTTAATTATTTAACTTACAGGTTAATTTATTCAATCGATTTTTTCTAAAGCTAAAGGAGATCAATAAGAAAGAAACATACCAAAATTTCACGATTTAAATGGGTAATTATTCAAAATAGGCAGCTTTGATGACCTTGACTTTGATATATGTTGTCAAAAGCATGATCCTGATCTCCAACAAGTTTTGTCCTTCGTTAAAAAGTTATAAGCTACAAAAAAAGTTTCAAAAATAATGTATTATTTCTGCTATACATGTGCGATATTAAGTACTATTTAACATCTCCCCCTATAAAGGGGCGCACGACTTTCATCTTCGACTCTCACTCCTCCCCTTTTACTCCCTTTTCCCTTCGGGGGGCGGAATAATATGTGTTTGTTTTCATTTTGAAATTATATTAATCATATACTATCATATAATGGAACATAGCCACAATAAGTGTTATATATTCAATCATATTGTTTTATGAATTCATTTATTTAACGCATAACTATAACGATTTAATAAATTATTTAAATGCTAAAGGAGTGCTTTGAAAGCGTATTACTTGTGATTACCACGGTGTACTAAAGAGATTCAATTAAAACAAGACAATTCGCTTGCTAATGCATTGTACTAATACGTATTATAAGTAAATACATGGACGAAAACGGCAAAGAAAGATATGCATTTTTAAATTAAGTGCATTAACAAATATGTGATTTTCAAAAGCACATTTGGATATAGTAAAAGTATGTCGCATTATTTGTTATTTTTTTAATGATGAATTTATCACGACAACAATTATTACAAACTGAAGTATAAATTACGACTGCTATGGATTGGATCAATTTTTTCCGTGAAGTAAATACTATATCGATGTAGAACACATTTTTCAAATCATTATATTGTTTACATTTTATAGTTACTATAATAATATAAATCAATGGTTGACCAATATCAATAAATTAGGCGGCTCAGAAATTATCATCGAAATAGACGAACCAAAATTTAGACGTACGAAGTATTTTTTGTGAGATAGTCCTCATTTCGTGTGGAAAGTAAACCTAATAAAACTTTGCTTCTTGAATGTACAACTTTCCTCGCGAAAGTTGGGTTGAGTTAGGGTTAAGGTCAGGTTATTATATATCATTAAACTTTCCAAATATTTACATTTAATGGGTATATAATAATAATTGGATTAGGTTATTATATACTTATTAAATGTAAATGAAAGAATAAAATAGTATTTAATACTGTATATGTAACAGTAGAAATAAAACATTATTTTTAAACTTTTTTTTGTTTATAACTTTTGAACAAAGCAACGGTTAAAACTTGTTGGAAAAGTCATTCTCATGACCTTGATAACATATATCGAGGACAAGATCATCAGAGTTGCCTCCCCTATTCTGAATAATTGCCGGAAAATACTGTTGTCAGTAGATGATACTACTTCTCAGATTTTTTTGTCATAACTATTTTTTTTAATGGAAGTTGATTTTTTCTTTCAATAAAAGCTGTAGCTGTCAAAGAAACGAATGCAACGTCTTTTTAAATTTTCAATTTGATTGATGTTAGACCGAATTAAACATCTCTAAAGTTTTTTTAAACAGCTGTTGATGATCTTAAATCTTGGACCAAATTAAATTTTAATATGTGACCTGTAAATTGTCAATGTCATGATTATGAACAACATTCCAAAGTTTTAACCATCAGTCTGACATCATAATATAAATACCAGCGGTATTGTAACTTCAAGTATCATAACTCGAAAAATAGTGAAAACAAACTATATTATAGTGTTTTCAAAAGCTCTTGAAGAATAGCTATAAGAATATGTAATAAAAAATCAAAGGTTTCATTTAAAAAAATTTAGATAACTTTGATCTGATCCTAAGGATACGAGTATCTTCTTAAAATCAACCAAAGTCACCAACTTCGAACTATAAAACTATTGTCTGAAATCTTTTTGACTTAAACTTATTATATATATA